TTTTTTTTTTTTTTTTACTTTAAACCGCATAAACACATTTCATTACACCAAATACACAAAATAATGGTCTTTTTAGCAACATCACATGACCCCTTTAACATTAATAAATGCTGCAGAAGTATTGTTCATTCTTAGTTCATATCAACTACACTAGTTAACTAATGTTAACTAATGAACCTTATTGTGAAGTGTTACCATTTATATAAATGTATCTGTATACAATAAAGCCATAATACCAACTATCAATAGGAGGTTTCCAGCTGACAGCAAAAATTTATTTAGCCTATGTAACAATATGAGGTAAATCCGGCCCTGTACATGATACTGATTTTTGTTGCCAAATTGGTTTGGAACAGTTGTTGAAAAAACAACTAAACTGAACTATTATGCCTGTCTATCTGCTTGACTGACAGTTTTATTGATCACTGAGAGAGCCTTATGATGTTGGTTCAATATAAAAAAAAAAAAATTTTTTTAAATAGCTTAGATGTAAGTAAACTACTTTTGCCAAGTTGATGTAGCTTAGCTTGCTGCATTTCCCAGGGCTGTAGCTTTAGTGTAGTGAAGCTTCATTTAATGAAGAGTAACTGTTAGCTTAGCTCACTACATTTTCCAAGTAGCTTGCCCAACACTGCTTAACTGTTCCCTGCTGGTAGAATGACCTGCCCAACTCGATCCAAGCAGCCATCTTCAAGAAATGACTAAAAACACATCTCGTCCATCTACACTTGACCCTCTAAAACAAGCACTCTCTATTCAATTTCTATTTTATCTACGTGTTTTCTTTTTTTATAAAAAAAAAAACATTCACACTCTATGTACTTGTTTTCTTTTTATTTATTAAAAAACATGTGACCCTCTAACACTATCGTTCTTTATTTATTTCTATTCTATCAACTTGTTTTCTTTTTATTTATTATCATCTACGTGTACTGCGTTAGACTAACGGGACTTGTCACAGCACTAACATAATGTTGCTGTTGGTTTGATTGCTTCAACTGTCATCATTTGTATGTTGCTTTCGATAAAAGTGTCTGCTAAATGAAGTGTCTGCTAAAAGTTTCTGCTAAAATGTAAATGTAAGTCATTACAAGGAAAGATGTTTGACGTGCGTTGCTTTTTCAAATGCATGTTATAAGCAGGGAAGCGTTTCCTCATCTAAGCACATAGACTCAAGGCCACACAAAAACAGAGCCAGAGACTCACAGGCAGACAAAAACAGCCAATTCAGAGAGAAACAAAATGCACTGAAATTATTGAAACACAAAAGCGCATTCTGAACTGTGGGTTGTCATACCGAACAGTTCAATATTATATTAAGAAGTGTGGCATCTCTAGTGGCCCAAATACTGTCATCACTTCCCTTCTGAGTGCTTAATCCCTTTTTTTTTATATACAGATTTCAGCCATTTACATCATAAAAGTTTTTATTGTTATACTATAACAGTATACTAACTGTATTTCTCTCCTTTGCCATTTTATTTGTTGCCTAAGAAATAAATTTTATTTATCGACACAGAGGCACCAGAAACTGGTACCAATATTATACTGTGTCTAATCATATTATACAACCAAATTTAAGTTAATTACATACTTAACAGCACCATGTGAGGGTGATTTTTCTCACCGAGTAACAGCAGAGTTCATGAATGATGACTCTGTTGGAGAAGGTTTCATTGTGAGATTCAATATGAAGAGTTCTTTCTCTGTGGTTCAGAGAGTTCTTCTGAATGAAGTAGACATAATCCACACCTGCAATCTACACACAAATACAGGATTTATAATTTTATTACAAATCAAAGCTGAAAATTTAATCAAGCTTATTCACATCTTATATCACAAGACTTCCATTCCATTTTACCCGTTTGAGGAGTCGTGGTGCATCCACGTCAAGTTTACACCTCCTCTCAATCCTATGAAAAGATCGATCCTCACTGGTCTCCTCACTGATCACATCACTGTCCACAAACATGGGGATCAAATGACAGGTGGGAAACCTCCTCTCATATGCCTGAATAAGAGAGAACAACATAAGAATATACTGAAAAATGAAAGAAGAATCAAAAACCCACCTGCTTTCCCTTATGGAAGAAAAGAGGTACAGTATGTGTGTGTGTTTATTTTTTTTTGCATGAGCATAAAGTCACTGAGGGCCTGTTGCACAGAAAGAGAGCAGCGGGGAAGACATTGATCAGATAGGTGGTATCACTATTAAGCACACTGTCACAGAGAAACATGGGCAATGAATAGTTGATATAAAAAATGGATGATGACTAGTAATTCCCTACTAAATTACTAAAAGAGATTTTAATAATTGGACCAAAAACCTCCACATGTAATATCTACTTGGTGGCTGCTCTGTCAAGTCTTCATCAATTAGTAACCCTGGTTGTGCCCTTTGATAGTGTAACATGTTTTTGTTTTGACTTGATGTTAGGAAGCACATGTTTTGTGCGCAACTCTTTCTCATATGTCTCTCTCTTTCTTGCTCCTTCTCTCAAGCTGTAATTGCTCACAGGTGAAGCTACTATTCAGAGACGACCTGATTGGCGATAGGAGTGCTGCTTGATGTACTTGTGTCGCATTCAAGCCAAGTTTGGATGTGGGAACATCCAAGTTGAAATGTCTCACTTCAAACCTCAGTGAGTTCCAGTCAATACACGTCATGTTAACATATTGACCTCATGATGCCGCCATGACACGAGAGCATTACGTGTTTTTGTGTCATTTATGGCAAAAACAAAAAATAAATATAGCTGCAAGCAGCAATTGCCGGGGTTCAAGCACATTAAGGCATTTAAGGTGGTATATTTTAGGGTCTATGCCTGGATGTGTGGCTGACAGTAAAACACATCCAAAATGGAGAATAGGCTCATGGACACAGAAACACACACACAGAAATGAAATGGTTAAACTGTTATATTAATATTCAATAAGCATGCTTAAACACACAGACACACACACACATACATGCACACACATTTTGCTGCAGATATAGATATTTGACATAAATGATAGGTGACAATACTTATTGCAAGTCGTCTCTTTTTAGGACCATTTTGTGTCATTTTCAGGTTTCACTGTAATCATAATCTGGCATAATTGTAAAAACTAATATGTATGTATGAACAAAATGGTAAACTATGACTAAATGTGATTTTAAATGTTATAATAGTGATTTTATAACGTCTAAGCATGAATCCATCAAACCTATGAACAGTACTGTTTTAGTGCGTTTAATGAGCCCATTAGTGGTCATCCGCTGCTATCTAGTGGTTATAAATGCATTTTCTCATACATCACTGTATTTTACCTTTATAACTATTATGGTGTTATTTTTTGCCCAATTTCTCTTAAATTTTGCATGCTTGTTTAGAATGAAATTATGCATTATTTTACACAGTTTTGGGAGAAATTGTGGGCTTTCTTTTAGGATTTATAGGCCTTTGGGTACACTATGTAAAGAACATATTATAAAATTACCGGTTTATAGTTGTCCAAATGCAAATGTTCAACATTTTTTTTTAAATAATTATTGACCTAGAGAGTCTACAGACTAGTACTGCACTGATTTTAATGATTTTGAGTTAAAAACTGAGGACTAATTCACAAAAGTAGGTTTTCAAAATAATCTAAAACCCACCTGCTTTCCCTTATGGAAGAAAAGAGGTACAGTATGTGTGTGTGTTTATTTTTTTTTGCATGAGCATAAAGTCACTGAGGGCCTGTTGCACAGAAAGAGAGCAGCGGGGAAGACATTGATCAGATAGGTGGTATCACTATTAAGCACACTGTCACAGAGAAACATGGGCAATGAATAGTTGATATAAAAAATGGATGATGACTAGTAATTCCCTACTAAATTACTAAAAGAGATTTTAATAATTGGACCAAAAACCTCCACATGTAATATCTACTTGGTGGCTGCTCTGTCAAGTCTTCATCAATTAGTAACCCTGGTTGTGCCCTTTGATAGTGTAACATGTTTTTGTTTTGACTTGATGTTAGGAAGCACATGTTTTGTGCGCAACTCTTTCTCATATGTCTCTCTCTTTCTTGCTCCTTCTCTCAAGCTGTAATTGCTCACAGGTGAAGCTACTATTCAGAGACGACCTGATTGGCGATAGGAGTGCTGCTTGATGTACTTGTGTCGCATTCAAGCCAAGTTTGGATGTGGGAACATCCAAGTTGAAATGTCTCACTTCAAACCTCAGTGAGTTCCAGTCAATACACGTCATGTTAACATATTGACCTCATGATGCCGCCATGACACGAGAGCATTACGTGTTTTTGTGTCATTTATGGCAAAAACAAAAAATAAATATAGCTGCAAGCAGCAATTGCCGGGGTTCAAGCACATTAAGGCATTTAAGGTGGTATATTTTAGGGTCTATGCCTGGATGTGTGGCTGACAGTAAAACACATCCAAAATGGAGAATAGGCTCATGGACACAGAAACACACACACAGAAATGAAATGGTTAAACTGTTATATTAATATTCAATAAGCATGCTTAAACACACAGACACACACACACATACATGCACACACATTTTGCTGCAGATATAGATATTTGACATAAATGATAGGTGACAATACTTATTGCAAGTCGTCTCTTTTTAGGACCATTTTGTGTCATTTTCAGGTTTCACTGTAATCATAATCTGGCATAATTGTAAAAACTAATATGTATGTATGAACAAAATGGTAAACTATGACTAAATGTGATTTTAAATGTTATAATAGTGATTTTATAACGTCTAAGCATGAATCCATCAAACCTATGAACAGTACTGTTTTAGTGCGTTTAATGAGCCCATTAGTGGTCATCCGCTGCTATCTAGTGGTTATAAATGCATTTTCTCATACATCACTGTATTTTACCTTTATAACTATTATGGTGTTATTTTTTGCCCAATTTCTCTTAAATTTTGCATGCTTGTTTAGAATGAAATTATGCATTATTTTAAACAGTTTTGGGAGAAATTGTGGGCTTTCTTTTAGGATTTATAGGCCTTTGGGTACACTATGTAAAGAACATATTATAAAATTACCGGTTTATAGTTGTCCAAATGCAAATGTTCAACATTTTTTTTTAAATAATTATTGACCTAGAGAGTCTACAGACTAGTACTGCACTGATTTTAATGATTTTGAGTTAAAAACTGAGGACTAATTCACAAAAGTAGGTTTTCAAAATAATCTCAAATACTTAAAGAACAGTTTGATTGACAGCAGTGATCCTAGAAGCAAAGTTGTTCCGAATGATGAGATCTATCATATGATATGGAGGTAAAGTGTATAAGTGAATATATGAACATTTTATTGCAATTTGAGGTAATTTACTATTTTTTGAGTTTTCGTTTAGGTTTTAGAGGCTTTTGGGTATATTTGGCCACACCCTTTTAAAATGACACCATTATAGCTAACCAAAAGACAAAATTCAACATTTTTTTTGATAATTATTGATCTAGAGCAGGGGTTTTCAACCTGTGGGGCGCGCCCCCCTGGCACCTGTCAAGGGGGGGTGCAAGCATCAGTTCTCTTGAGAATTTATGAATATGAGTTAACAAATCTTTAGCCATCCACTAGGGGGCAATCTGACTCCCACTGCTAGTCGACAGTTAGAGCAGAGTTTTTCATTCTCACGTACTTTAAGTCTTGTCAGTTTAAACATTAAAGTAATTTTAAGCCATTTAAGCCGAAGACATCTCAATGCGGTACTCACGCACTGTGATAGAGCGTTTCTATGCGCACCGCTCACACACCTGAAGTGCACAAACAGATAGCCTTCTCAGACAGCAGGTGAATACCAATGGCTGTCTTGACAAGTATCGTTGTAAGCACAGTCGGTTGTATTAAGTGAATGTAAACAGTAAAAAAAATATCAAATGTACATCAGTATAACAGATCCGTGCATTTCTTATGTAAATAATGTTAATCAAGAAGAGCAAAAGAAAAATAGTTTGCTGCTTTAATAGCTTTAATGGATATTTGCTTTTATGTTAATGTTAATAAAGTAATTCGGTGTGACTACAGTAATACCGGTGGGGGTGGGGGGTTGTTGGATGTTGGGGAGGCGCGAGTGAAATTAGACCAACTTGGGGGGGGGGGGCGCATGTCCTAAAAGATTGAAAACCCCTGATCTAGAGAGTGCAGACAATATTACTGCAGTGGTTTGATTGAGATTGAGCGAAAAACCTAGGACTAGTTTACAAAAGTAGGTTTTTAACATAATTGCGAATATTTAATGAACGATTTTGGTTGACACTATTAGTCCCAGAGGCAAAGTTGTTTAGAATGAGGTGATCTATCATATGATATGAAGATCTTGTGTTTTGTGAATATATGCACGTTACACAATTTGAGTTCATTTTCTATACAAATATTGTATTTTTGTGGGCTTTTCAACTGTTATAGCGCCACCTATAGTCCGATATCCATAAAACGTTGCATGCTTGTTAAGAGTAATCTGACACATGTTTTCACTAAGTTTCGTAAAGTTGTCAGTTTTCGTTTAGGTTTTATAGGCTTTTGGGTATATTTGACAACGCCCCTTTTATAAATAACCCAGTTAAAGGGTAACCAAAGAACAAAATCCTACATTTTTTTTTATAATTATTGATCTAGAGAGTACAGAGAATATTATTGCAGTGGTTTGATCGAGATTGAGCGAAAATCCTAGGACTAGTTCGCAAAAGTAGGTTTATAACATATTTGTGAATATTTATTGAACGATTTTGATTGACAGCAATGGTTCTTGAAGCAAAGTTGCTCATTATGAGGAGATCTATCAAATGATATGCATATTGTGGGCATGTGTGAAATACCACGTGATTACAGAGCCATAAAACTCGATAGCGCCAACTAGTGGCCGATTTCTTTAAAAAATCTTTCAATAATACAGACCTTTATGGCCATGAGTCGAACATGCCCACCGAGTTTCGTTCCGATCGACCAATCGTCAAATAGTTGCTTAAATTTGTTTGGCCAATGGCGGCCATGTTTTTT